GGGGGGACACCAACTTGGTAAGTTGTTGCCTGGTTGTTTGCCTAGTTGTCACGAGGTGCCACATGTCGCAATTTCACTGGAGGGCCAAATCTGCCCTCATCACATTCTACGATAGTTTACCTACAAAACCAAATTAAATTAAATAAATTTATATATAGAGAAATAGAACAGGGTAAAAGAAGAAGGGCGGAACCCCTGTTTTAACATCCGACAATGAAAATTCTGTCTATAAGACTGTAACCCACCTCAGTTAAACTTGTTGCAGAACCTAAACTGAATCTACAATTTTAACTGCAAAACCAAACTATTTTGACATCGAGAAGAATAAGGGCGGAGCCCCTGTTTTGACGTCCAAAACAACAACGGAAATATTGTCTGTAAGTCGCATTAGTTTACCTATTACAAAACTAATCCACCGTAGAGCTTGATTGTTGAAAAACCCAAACAAAGATTTGAAAGAGAAGACGGAGTGGGGCTTGATTGTAGGAATAGAATAGAATGGGATGATAGCTTAAGAGCAAACTGAGTTTATTGTGGAGCTTGATCGCTGGAACAGGACGATAGAATGGGAAACGATGATAGCTCGAGACCAAACTGAGTGAGAGAGACATTTGGAATACCCTGGCGGGAGATGCTTCATAAGTCCAAACGCCTCTTGCGCGTCATTGGACTTCATTGTTATTACGTGGATTTAAAAAAAAGAAAAAAAATTCAAATTTTGAGAAATTAGGAAAGGGGTAGGAGAGACGTGCTGACATGGTACGTCCAATTTTAAATATATAATTTAAAACTTGATTTTTTGATAATATAACCTTAATAATGACACTAAAATAGTCAATTATTTATATGCATTTTTAACCAAAATTACCTTATCGCTCAAATTTATCATTTTAAGATAAAATGTAATAAAAATTATAAGAAAATTGGAAAATCTTTTTTTTTTTAAGGCTTAAAGCATATTTCATTCCTTCAAGAAATTTATACAAAGAATTATCAACAAGGCCAACAAAAAATTCAGATACAATAATTTCTACAACCGAAAGAATTTCTACAACCAAACAAAGGTGAATTAAAATCACCAATAGAAATAGACAAGCACAACTCCAATCCACCACAAGCGACAAGTGAAACTGTAACCAACAAGGGAGGTCGCCAATCCGCAAAAGACGGAAAAGCCCCATACATTACAACTGCTACCAGAGACTGTAACCGCCATCCATAACTGCTTTCGTCCGAGAATTGTGCCATGAACTGCATTTGTTGGAGAATCATGAACTGACTCAATCATGGACAGCAAGATGTGAAGCAACATCCACCGGTGTCAATCGCTCGGCAAAGGATTCAAGAGAAGTAACCCCAAGTCAAAACGCTTGTAGAAAGAAAAAAAAAAGTACAAAAAAGAGGCGAAAAAGAACAATGAGAAAAAAAAGAGCAAACAAACAGGGAAAGACGACAGAAGAAAAGGAGAAACCAAATGGGAGAGCAGAGAGAAAGAACAAAGGTGAAACCAAATGGGAGAACAGAAACGAAGAAAGAAAGCGAGGGAGGAGGGGAACAAAAGGAGAACAGAGAGAAATGGAGAACAAAGAAAACAAAAGAACAAAGAGAAAGGGAACTCCCGGAGGGAGCCACCCCAAAATAAAACTCTAAGGCGGAAGCAGACAAGGAACTGAGAGAACAAAAGCCCCAAGAAAACTCGAAAGGAAGCCTCTCTCGAAACAGAGAGAGAACAATATAAGTGCCAGAACGTAAATTTACAAATTCAATTACATTTAGAAATGGGGACAAAATGACAAAACCAGAACCAACATAATCGGTTTGGTTCGGTTCGACCAGTCGGTAAGAACCGACCTATTGACAGTCCTCATACCGCGGAGAGCCTGCAGTTCCGCGGGTTGGAACGTTTCTGAGACGACCTCTCTTCACGTCCGCTTCTCCAGTCTCCACCTATTTGCATTTTCAGAGAAGGAGCTTTATTGCTGCAGCAACCACCATTGAGCGGTATGTTTTCCTGCTCCTCATTCTCCTCCTCATACAAAGTTAGCATCACCTAGGGAAGTCCCAAGTTGTAGCTTGCGGCTGCAGCAGAATGCCAACCATTTTTACGCCCTAACGGCTTCATTTGGAACTAAAATCTGGGCGTAATGCGTAGTATGCAAATTGCCTCCCAGTACCATTGCGAGTAGGTTAGGGTTTTTCACTTAAATCTCATCTCCGTAAACCACGAGACTTGACTGATTTGAATTGAATATCTCAAGGTCGCGCTCTACGTGGGAATTATGACTTTACAGGAGGCTTTAGGATTTTCTTTGTTCGGATAGGTAATAATTTTTCCTTTGTTCTGTAGAGAAGATTTTAGGTTGTTAATTGTGCTTTAGGTAATAATTATTCTCTTATTTCAGCTCTATAAATCAGTTTGGTAGGTTTCTAATCGTGGCTTCTCAGAAAGAGTTTTATATTAGTTGATTTTGATCCGCAGGGTTATGCTTAAGAAATAGAGGCTGATTTAAAGTGATTTGTAGTAGTATTGTGCAACTTTAGGTTGTTCTATCCTCTTAGAGCCTATGAATACATCCATTAGAAACGTCCTTATGTCTTGTTATGTACTGTAGAAGCTTTCCTACTTGTTTGTGGGTCAGTTAAAGGTTTTGTTGTCAACCTTGTGGCTCTGAAGGTTTTGAAAAACTTGGTTGTTGCTGGACAGGGTTGAAAGGTTGGTGAGTTCATACTATGTCTTGTTAACAGTGGGATGGTTGGATATAGTTGGTACCCAATTGTGGTTCTGGTGCTGTAGTGGGCTTGAGTGTTTCAGCTTGATCAATCAGGACTACAAATTACTATGTCAAACTAACTTGTAACAGCTTACACTGTAAATTATGTATTATAGATCAATAAATGCTTTGATCGCTACTCATAAAAAATAGAAGAACTTTGGAGAAAGAGAGATACCTATCACCCTGTTGTCCTGTACCAAAAAAAAAATCTATAATTCAACAGTGCATAAGCTTATTACAGAGTTTTTGTGAACAAATAGCTTCTGTCACCTACTTGTAATGTCACATTGTTGAATTGTATCATGTGTTTGCATCCATTTGTAACTCACTCACTTGCCACTTCCTAGGGTTACATCATGAACTTGTTATCTATTTCACCTTTGACCCTCAACTAAATACTATGTAAAAAATTAAACCCAGTTTAAACTTTTGATGTGAAAGTTTGAAATTGCAAAAATATCCCTGCTATCTATTTTACTTTTTTGCGTTAGTTAATTTGTTAGTTTGACTTAACTGCTTCATTTTTTGCATTGTTCCAAAGTGGAATTCTTTTTGGTGTGTCTTTTGGTAGGCTTTCTCTGAACAAGTTGAGATCCCCTGCCAACAAAACACGTTCCAACACCTTTCCAACATGATCTGACACTGCACATTTCACTATGATACTGGGACCTGCCTTGTATGAGATGTGTGGTGTCAGATCATGTTGGGGAGGGTGTTGGAATGTATTTTGTTGGCAGGTGATCCGGATTCCCCTCAAAATCCAAACTCCAAAGTACCCTTAGACCCAGGTGAAGGTGGGATTCAATCCCAAGCCTCTGCTACAACCAGCCACAAGGGGGGCGGGGGGTGTTAACTTTGCCATCTGCCATACTTACAATTAAATGGATACAGTGATCCTGGAGACCATAATTATGCAGTAATCTTAATTAATGTCCTTAGACAATTCCATTGTCCCTTAAATATTTAGATGCTTCTTTTAATTGATTTTGCTTTTAGATACTCTTACCTCTAGCATTTGTTTGGAACTTTGCTTACTGATACCCTACTAGACAGTAGTGGATTTAGACACTTTCCTTGCTCAAGCTCTATTGAATGCTATTATATGTTAAATAGTAAATATTTCAGTTTGCATGGTATCACATTCATTCTGTTAGCTTTATAAGGATTTACAAGCTATGTTCTTGCTGTCAAATCCCATAGATGATAATTTGCTTTGCTGTTGCATGACATGGGGCATTTTGGAGGACTTAAAAAATGACTTCTGAGGGCATCTATTTTCTACTTATAAGGATATTCAGTGACATATTCTCTATTAGGTTTACATGGGGTTCCTACAATCAGAGAATCCCAACATGTGAGGGGACTTAACTTTAATGGATAATTAGGAATGGAAGGTGGGGTGATTCTGTGTTTTTCTGCAATTTTTTTTGGTTGAAATATATGATTTTTTTAAAATAGTATCAAATACTGTGTATTTCTACTTTTTTGCTGAAATATATATATATATATATATATATTTCAAATTTGTATCAATTTATGTATTTTTCTGCAATTTCTGATTTTTTTTGGCTGAAATATATAAATTTTTTAAAATTTTTACAATTTTCTGTGTTTTTCTACAATTTCTTCCTTTTGGGGCTGAAATAAATAATTTTGCTAAATTTTTATTAAAACAATTTCTGTGTTTTCCTACATTTTTTAAATTTTTTATTAATTTGTGTCTTTCTGCATTATTTGTTTTTTTCTATGTTTTTTCCGGTTCTTTCCACATGGCATATGAATATGGAATATAATTCTGTTTTTCTAAAATTAATCACTTTGGGTGAATGGGTCAAAGTGGGTGGGTTATGTTGGGCAGAGTTGCAACCCAATAATATGTAATTAATATGTGTTACTATTGAGTGTGGGTGGGTAATGGATGGGTCAGTATTCAACATGCATCCAACCCAGCCTAACCTCCTCCATTTTCCACCCCTACTACTGTGCAAAAGAACTTGGCATTTATGATGACTGGTTGGTTGAAAGTTTTAGGATGTCATCTTTTCTGTTCCTATTTTTTTAAGATCTATGCCTTTCCAAGTCAAATCAAAATTGGAGTTGCTCTGTTCTAGCATTTCAAGTTTGATTCATAAGGCAGACAATTAGAGATAAAGCACTGTTAGCCCCTAATCAAGTACTGTATTTCTTAATTCTTATTACTGGCACACCTTTGCTTTCAGGGTGCTGTGCTCCATTTTTAAATCTTTCCTTCATAAAACCATTATAAATTTCATCTAAGCAATGGTAGAAGTATTGGAACTTGGAGACTGTTTTAACTCCCCCACCCCCACATGCAACACTCAACCTTTGAATCTTAGTCATCTTCAGAAATTCCTAAAATTGGTTTTGTAAGTATGTTAACGCTAATTATGTCATGTATAAGTTTTTATCATTTGCAAGCAATTCCTCGACAAGTAATTGGAGCAAACCCAAATAGAGCTCTTCTAATATGCATTCTTTTTGTTAGGGTAGAAGCCATCACAGTGAATCAGTTGACTTCAATGAGATTTTTTTTAAGATGAATAAATAAGAAACTATATTAATGATAAAAAGATACAAGTGTCTTGAGTGACAAGATGTCACCACCCAGCAAAACAAAAGAGAAGCTACAATATAACCATACTAAAACAGACCAAACTCAAAGCCCATACAAAATTAAACTGACAAAATAGACCATAAATTTGAACCAAAATCTTCTTTTTTTCTGCCAATAAATTCTGGAAGAATTAAGATTAATTTTGATTGATTGTCGCCATTAATTTTTCCTTTCTCTTCATCTTTCCATCAAAAAATCTTCTATTTCTTTCCTTCCACAGCTCCCAACAGACATCAAAAGGAATGCAGCTCCAGATGATTTTTACTTTGATGTTTCCTAATAGCCTTGGCTACGCTTCAAAAATATCTGCACGCTTAGCAGAAGACCAACCATCAATGCTGAAAAGCTTGAAGAAAAAAGCCCATGTTCCTTTTGCAAAATTGCAACTAACCATTAAATGCTAATCTGCTCAGCATTATAAAACCTCTCTTCTTCAGGTTGTCTTGTGTAAGGACACTGCCCATTGACACCAGCCATGCAAAAGCCTTCACTCTTGGAGGAATTGGTTTCCCCCAAATTCCTTTGAGAGAAGAAGATTCTACTTGATTCCTTATTAATGCATTATAAAGAGATTTAACAGTAAATCTTCCATTCTTACACTCTTTCCACCACTTTTCATCTGCCACCTCAGGATCAATTGCCTTTTGCAATACTGACAGCAGCCTTGTACAGTCATCAATTTCCCAATCCAACAAAGGTCTCCTAAAGTATATTATAGAATGGTTATCAATACATTTATTATAATTTTTTTTGTATGGAGATTATAGAATGGTTATGGATTCTCTTTGAGGCTTTAATTTATTATATTGCATTCATTTAAAGATGAAGAGTCTGAGGTTTTTGGGTTAGATGGTTATGATTGAAGTAGAATATCTTCTTTGAGGGCCCCAATTCAATGCTACTTCCAGTAAGATCTAGGATGGTTGATGGGGTCATATTCTCCTTGTTCTAATAATGCAAGTACAACATGTTTTTTTTACAAATCAGAAATAGTGTTTTCAGTTCCATGGTGCACGCTTGTGGATGACATTGTTTTAATTGATGAAACTCTTTTTTTTTTTTTTTTTTGAGAAATGGTGAATATTATTAATAGAAAGGATAAGATAAGGCTGCTGAGGGAGAGATTTCCTCAACAGCCAAATACAAGTAGCCAGTGAGAGTAGCCACTCATCCTCCCCACATAAACAACAGCGGTTAACAAGAGTCATTCCTTTCTTCCTCAACACACCTTAGAAGGATTAAATGCAAAATTAAGCTTATGGACTAATGCCTTAGAAACAAGAGGTTTTAAAGTAAGTAGGACTAAAACAGAGTTTATGACATGTAATTTTTTTATCAGTAACATAAAACTTTCATTAATTAAGAAAAGGTTTAATTACAAAGGTGGGGGAAGGTAAACCCTCTTACCTCACCCCCAAAAGGAAAATTACAGTGTAGCCCAAAACAAATGATTTCTTTCACCCCCTGTTTAGCCAAAGCATCTATAAATGAATTGGCACATCTTTTAACCCATTGGATATGCACATCTATTCCTTGAGTTAACCACTTGAATTGCCTCCGTTCATTAATGTATGTCCATAACCCATCACCTGTCTTCTCCATCCAGCCAATCACCACTTGTGAATCTCCTTCAATAATCAACCTGTTTATATTCAGCTCCTTAGCCCTTTTCACTCCGTCCAACAGAGCCAGAATTTCTGCTCTCAGTGAATCCCCAACTCCAATTACTCCTGAAAAAAGAGCTATTACCGAACCTACCTCCAATCTGAAAACACCACCAACCCTGGATGACCCTGGATTTCCTTCACTGCTCCCATCAAAGTTGAGTTTGATGAAACCTTCCATCGGGGGGTGCCACAAAGGATGGACATTGATTCTGCTTGGCACTGAGACTGCTATTTCCTACCAATTGTTCACAATGGTCTCTGTTGGAACATCATCAAATGGGTTCATTGTCTTTACCCACTGTGCTACCCTCAAAGTAATCACTTCTATAAATGTGTCCCTGCTTCTTTCTTTTTCAGCTAATATCCTTTGGTTCCTTTCCTCCCTAATCGTCCAACAAACCGCTGCCCTGGTGCACCTCCACAAGATATTTCCCCTCTCCGTGATCTGACTACCAACAGAATAGATGAAGAGGCTTCGAATGCTTGACGGGGGAGTCCACCTACAACCAAATAAAGAGAGAAACCACTCCCAAATAGATGAAATAAAAGGGCAGGATATAAGTAAGTGAGGGCATGACTTGCTTAAGATTAGAGACCAAGAGATGTGAATGACATGTAAATTTAATAATAACAAGAGCGTAAATGAAGATACACTTAGGATTAGAGACCAAGAGATAAATCAATGTGACCATTTCCAGTACGTTGGTTCAATAATTCATAACAATGGACAGATTGAGGAGGATATCACCCAAATAATTAGAACATGATGTGCAAAATGGAGGGGCGCATCTGGACTTTTATGTGATAGGCAGATACCACTTAGATTAAAGGGAATTCTATAAAACAGTTGTAAGGCCTATGTTGTATGGAGCAAAGTGTTGGATAATCAATAAACAACATGTCCAAAAAATGAGTGTGGCAGAAATGTGAATGCTAAGACAGATGAGTGGAAAAACTAGAAAGGATAGAATTAGGAATGAAGTCATCCGTAGGAACCTAGGAAGGGTGCATCTGGACTTTTATGTGATAAGCAGATACCACTAAGATTAAAAGGAATTCTATAAAACAGTTGTAAGTCCATCTTATGTTGTATGGAGCAGAGTGTTGGGCTGTCAAGAAACAACATGTTCAAAAAAATGAGTGGCAGAAATGTGAATGCTAAGACGGATGAGTGGAAAAACTAGAAAGGCTAGGATTAGGAATGAAGTCATCTGTAGGAACCTAGGAGTAGCTCCAATAGGTGATAAAATGAGAGAGTAGACTAAGATGGTTTTGTAACATGCATAGAAGATCAATAGCTCCAGTTAGAATAAGTGATCTGTTACAAGTTGAAGGGGCTAGAAGAGCTAGGGGTAGAGCAAAAAGGACATGGGTAGAAGTAGTTAGAAATGATTTAGACACTAATAATTTAACAATGGATATGGTGTTAGGTAGAATGGATTGGTGAAACAGGATTCATGTAGCCAGATCCCATATAGTTGGTTAAGGCATGGATGATGATGATGATAAATAGTGTTTTCAGTTGGGTTTTGGCTCTAGACAATTGATTAAGCAAAAGACAACTCCAGAGTTTTGATGTAAGTTGCAGTTTCTGGGCCTAATTCAAGCCAAGTTGAAATCACCATGAAGCAGTGCATGCTCCAAGTTCTTCAAAAAGCATTTAACCTTCTCCAAGTTCTTCAATCCTCAGTTTAACATTTGACAAGGATTCTGTACTGTAGTTCTTATAAAAAGACTATTATATGTATGAATCATCAGCTACATGAATCCTGTTTATCCATTCCGTTCTGTTTAAAAAAGGTATGTATATGTATCAATAAAACTTGAATTTATTTCTTCTTTCTTTTTAGTATGTACGTTATCTTGAGTTGTCAGGCTGAGCTAACATAATTTTTCAGTGGCACTCAGCTGACAATACCATGCAAAACGTAAGAAGCGCTATCCTAAGGCATGTTAGAGTTCCATGTTCTGCAAAGCAATCATTGTTCATTGAAGAAGGGAATGCATTAGGCAGACTGAGACGTCATATGTGTGCAGTAACAACTTCCAGCTCTGATGATATAACGACCCGAGTAATAGGACTGGTTAAGAAATTTGATAAGATAGATGCAGCCCAGGTAATTAGCTTCTACTTCTATTCTCTTCTTCTGTATATCTGATCATTGTTATTTATTTGTTCTCAGATGATAAGAGTCTAAAGGTAGCATAACCAATTGGATTGGGTTTGAGCCTTATTTGTTTGTCGAAACCATAATTCAACCAAGTAATGTCGTGCTTCTAATATGAGACTGCAAGTTTAATTTTGATCGCAGCTTACCAACCAGCTTCATGCATGGCCCAGGGCAAAATTACAAAATGGAGAAAGCTGATTCCAATTGCATTTGAACTTTTAGCAGGTTACTGAAACAGCTAGTTTTGAAAAAGACTTGTCCTTGGACAGCTTGGACAAGGTGGAGCTTATCATGGCCTTTGAGCAAGAATTCTCCATTGAGATCCCCGATGAGGCAGCAGATAAATTTACTTGCTGTGCTGATGTTGCCAAGTACATAGCATCTGGAGGTGGAAACAAGATTCCAGAAAATTCCTAATGGCTGGAAATTTCTTTTCAGTCCTATATATTAGGACTTTTCAGGTGTTACCATAATCTTGTCCGACAAGTAACAGTGTAATCGTCGTTTAAGCACTCACTATGATTCTTAAAAAATACTTTCATATCATTTATTCATGGATATTGTCAATGTGACCAACTTTCTCCTTGTTCCAACGACTTGTTCTGTAGCTACATTACTTGATTCTTTGATAGGGTTCAGGTCCGTTCGAACCTGAACTGGGAAATATCTCTGTCTGGCTTTCCTCGAGATCGGCTTCAGTGCAAGGTCCGTTCGAACAGCCTTTACAGCCTTGCACTGGGAAATATCTCTGTCTGGCTTTCAGTATCTGTTTCATTTGCATTTTCTTTAAGAGCTTAAAACTATGGAAGCAATGTAATTCAAAATTGCTAGTAAACCCAAGTTTCTCTTGCCCGTGGATACTTGTTCCAATGGGTTCTCTCTTACTGCTGCCATGCAAGGTTCAAAATATCAATACAGGGCAATACGTCCTATCGGCGTACCGGCCTGTATTGGTACTGTTTTTTTTTTTTTTTTTTTTTTTTTCTGGATCAGAGGGGCTGGTCTATCCTCTGAACCACTCGTCGACCCAAAACACCCTTTGTAGGGGCATATAGGGAAGCCTCTGATACGATTCGTATCGGCCAATATTAACTGATATGTGACAATATTTTGAACCTTGCTGCTATGGAAGCTCCAACTGCGAATGAGAGAATCAGGACAATAAAACAGCTCCAGAAACCGCTCATTTTCTTTGTTTATGAGCTCGTTCTTTTTTGTTTCCGAACTCCAAATAAAATTGAAGGCGCAACTCAAATTGTAAATCGTTAGGAATAGCAGAGATGAGTCGATAGAAATTAGAATTGTCATTACTTGAGCTTTCACATTACGATTCTCCCTAAGACCAGGATTTATCAACGTCAAATTCGTCCCGTAGTTCAAATTATCGTAATGCCCCAAGTACGGAATATTTTCATCAATGTTTACTTGAGGTAGCATGTACAGAAACAGAATTATATCTGAACCTCTAATATATGCCACTATGCATATATTTGTTTGTGGGTATGTCTCAGAGAGAGAGATTGCAAATTTGAGTACCCATCTAACCAAGAACCTTATTGTCACCATCACATTGGCAGATTTCATAGTTATAATAGGAGGTCGACGTTTCAGTCCAATTCTGATTCTTTCTTCTAATTTTAGGTTTTAAAACCAATTCTTTAGAAATTGAAATGAAAGGATTCAAAAGAAGAAAAAAAAAAAAAATTCTATTGTAATCTTTTATATTTTGCATCTTATCGAATTGTGAGCCAACCACATTCATAAATTATTGGAAAGCAACTTGTCATGTCCAAACTTTGCCAGATCTGCAGTTTCTATCCCAAAACTAATAATAGAAAAGCAATAAAACTTATATCACTGGAATTTGAGAAATTTTCTGTTGAATGAATCACATCTCTTATATGATATGTCATGTAGGTGCATAAATAGAGGCCGCGTTCTGCGCACCCGTGGGTGCACTGGACGCATGAACTTGCGAATGAGAAATTGACACGTTGACCAGGCCAATATTAACGTGGTCTAGTCGGCTCAATTGGACGGTTCACGCGGATACGAACCGGTCTGGGACAAAAGGGCCTCATTTCTTCCTTTCTGTTTTGCTCTTTCCACCAAACACTACCCATACAGCAAACCCTTCCTCCATCAGCGGCGATAGAGCTCCGGCGGTTCATTGACGACGACAAAAAGACCTCCGGCGGTGACGTATTCTTCTTCTTCGACAAGTAACTTCGGTGGTAAGGCGAAGCTACTCAAGAGGGAGACACCAAAGGTTCGAAAGAGAGTATTTGTTTGCCCATAACCCAGCTGCTTGCACCATGATCCTTGCCACGCACTCGGCGATCTCGCCAGCATAAAGAAGCATTTCAGAAGGAAGCACAACAATCACAATCAAGCACCTGGGTGTGTGGCTGTGCAGCTGTGCCTGAACGGTAAGGTCTCTGGTGTTTCCACTCCCCTGTCGACTGGAAGAAAAGCCGAACAGACTGCCACCGAGAACACTACGCCGTCTGAAACCCGAACTAGCACCTAGTGCTTGAACGGTGATGTCTCTGGCGTTTTGAAATGGTAAGGTCTCTGGTGCAAAGGCAAACCTTCTATTACTCCTCCATTGTCGCCCCGAACTAGCGCCTAGCACTACCTGAATGGCAAAGCTTCTGATGCAAAGGAAAACCCTCTATTCCTCCTCATCGCCCATGAAAATGCGATGGCATGGACTTCGGCTTCTTCCGGCCATAATTTCTGGATGGATTTATAAATTAGGGCTTTAGCTTCTTCAGGGCTTCAAAAATCAAAAATCAAATTCCATAGATAGAAGAACACATTGCCACCAGAGGTCTCATTGCCACCGTCGATCAACCACCGGAACTCTATCGCCACCGATGGAGGAAGGGTAGGGCTCGGTGGAAGGAGCTCTCGAAGGGAAACAAAATCGAAGAAATTTGTCTGTGTTCCAGAACACGAACCGGTTTATTTTTGCGTGAACCATCCGATTGAACCGATCGGAGCATGTTAACGCTCAAACGGACATTAACATTGGCCTGATCAACGTGTCATTTTCTCATTCGCAGGTTCACCCGTCCGGTGCACCCACGGGTGTATGGAACGCGGACTCTTAATTGGTTTTTTTGAGAATAAAAGGAAAGAGCAGGTCCTTGTTGTCTTATGCAGAAGCTTTCACAGGCCCCCACCCCAAGACCTTGCTGTATGTTGGGAGTTGGGATGGTCACACTGCTTCATATGGGTCTCATCTGCATTAATGGGTGAATGTTCAAAGTAGGAATACCGCAACCATCATTTACAGCAGAGGTACAAAAACATTCCCCAACACAATGGCGCATGGTCCCCCTCTTGAATCATCCACGATGAGAATGGGGAATTGGGAATTGGGAAGGGACATCCCCGAGTTTCATTTCCCAACATGAGTCATAGAGACTCCATGCTCTAGTCAAGATGACGAGCTTCTCCAAGTTCACCTTCAACATCTCTGTATAAGTAAAGCCATAAGCAAAAGCGCGTCTACTTTTTGAGTTTTTCTTCTCTAAGGGAAAAAAAAAAAAAGATATCGTGTTTTCTTTTCTTTTTTTTTTTTTTTTTTGGTAGAAGAGATGGTGTTTTCTTATTCTCATCACACAAAGACATCCTTCTACCCGTGTCCACCTGCTTGCACTTCGCAGGGTGATCCAAGACGTATCAATCCTTAGACTGTATTTGGTTCCAATGCAAATGAATTTATTCGGATGCAAAACTGTAGCAGTGCAAATGATTTGACTGTACTTATTTTATTTAATTGCATTACAAATGAAATAAATTAAGTCATGAAGTATAATAAAACAAAACACAAAACCAAATTAAATGAGAATATACATTTTTTATTTGTACTCCCATTTATTTGTACTATTGTAAATAAAATTGCACTGCAAACAAAAATTCTAACAAGAAACAACAAGATTTGTATATGGGTTTGGTCATCAAACGAAAAACAATTGACATCTTTCTAATTTAGAGGGTAGTTTTGTGGTATGATTTGGGAAGTTAGGGTGTTTTTGTATGTCTTGGTATTACCCTAGTATGTATTTACATTATATAACAAAAGCTGGGCAATTAGATGGTGGAGATAACAGTAAGCTTCGTGAACTGTTACCAGTTGAAGGGGATAGAACTTAGAAGAGATGAAAGAAGCTTGAAAAGGATTTGCACTCAACAAGACTCATCTTGGACCCCACTCCATATATAGTTGGGACGTGGCTTAGATGGTGATGACGAGATAATTTTCCAGTTACAAATTCTTTTTCACTTGAGGATCTTTTTGTGCAAGCTTAAGAAACCAACACGTCTACAGATCCCTCCCAAACCTTCCCTCCTTTTGTTTTATACATAACTGGATTTAATTTAACCAACTGGGATGAAGTTGCACCGTTTTAAAGCCGCACAATGAATCGGTTAGGGGTCTGGTTTTTGGGTTGAACGGTCTAATCATTTAAATCGAATGAATGACCCGTTCAAACGGTTTAACCACCCAGGTCAATAATTTGCCGATCAAATCAACAATTCTAGGGTAAAATGGAACAATCATCTGATCGGCTTCCGATTTTTTTGGTCTGACAATCCGGTCCAATCCAATTTTAAAAACCATGTACTTAAGTTTAAAATTAAAAGCTCCGAGAGTCTCTTTTTTTTTTAAGTCTCATCTTCTCAAAAAAAAATCCATACTTGATGAAAGCGGATTTGGCCCTCCAATGATATTGTGACACATGGCACCTCAGAACAACTAGGTGACACCTTGAACCACTTTGGCAACAACTTGCCTTAGCCAAGTTGATGGTGTCCCACCACAAGCACGGCCCGGCACAGGCATAGCCTGGCAGCCTGGCGCCAACCTGGTGACCTGCGAGGTGTTTTCGTCGACAAATTCGGCATGCATATCCTAACACTCCCACGATCCGGAGGGTGGTCAGCGTGCATGACGGTTACCTCCAGGAATCTCGAACCACTTAGACGACCTCGCAGAAATCTCGGATATGGTGCGTGAAGCCCACGCCAAACAATGCCTATATAAAGGCACCAACCCCAATGGCAAGGGGGCGAGCAAGCAAGTCTCTAAAGAGCAACGAAGCTCATCAATCCAGCTCGCCACCTGTTCAGCCGGGCACCTCACAGGTAGCTCGGCACCTGGTCAGCCCAGCACCTCATAGGTAGCTCAGCACTTGGTTAGCCCGGCACCTCACAGGCAGCTCGGCACCTCATAGGCAGCTCGGCACCATAGTCAGCTCGCCACTTAGCCTGCCCAGCTCAACTCAGCTCGGTAGCCAAAGTTCTCCACTTCGGCCTGAGTCATCGACCACTTGGAAGTAGACCAAATGACGAGATACTTAGCCAAAAAATCAATACATCAATAAAAATCGATTCATCAATACTCAAGGAAACCCACCTCTAGATTTCTTCTGTTTCCCTTTTTTCTCTTTTCGTTTTCATTTTTTGACGATTTCCTTACTTACCAAGAAGATTTCATAATGTTAGCAAAGGTGTGTCAGAACATGGAGAACAGTGCTGGTGGACTAAATCTAAATGTTTTCACACTTTTTATATCCTACACGTACTACAGGCATGT